ATATATATATATAATAATAATAATGACAATTATAAAATAATAGGAAGACAAAAAATAACTAAAACAAACAAAAAAACCCAAAGACCATTCAAGTTGACAGTTCTTGAGACCCCGGAGGCGGACATTGGAGCGGCGCAGACCCTGCTGCCGTACTTGGGTAGGATGGATCCTCTGTCTGGGCTCGCTATGGTGACTCTCTGGTTTCTTAGTAGGGATGGGGGAATGGATCCCTGTGATACCCCCTTCAGGTCTTTTGTAGTAGTCCCAACAACCCATTGCCCCATTCCCTACTAAGAACCAGTCAGGTGATGTCAGGCATCAGCCCTTCAGCTCCATTTTCGGATGTACTGAAGGCAGGGCAGGTGCCCGAAAATTCGCTGACCGGGTGGTTCTTCGACTTCTTGGCCTTCGCATTACAGGGCCTCCCTGCAAGTGCAACTCAAGCTGCGGGTGTCTCCTTCATGATGCGGGAGTTCTTTGCACCGGGAGCCGTCATGGACTACCCCAAGGGGGGCTCGGGTGCACTGGTGGATGCCCTGCTGCGTGCTGTTGAGAAGCGTGGTGGGGAGCTGCGGCTCCGGACGCGTGTTGAGAAGCTCGCGGTCGACAAGACAGGCCGCTGCACTGGAGTCGAACTGAAAGGCGGTAAAGGTCTAGAAGCGCGTGTGGCCGTGCTGTGCAATGCAGATGTTTGGAACACTTCGTCGAAGTTGCTGCCGGAGGAATGGCGCCCCAAGGTGAGAGGTTCGTCACTAGATGTGGAGGGTGTGCCGATGTGTCCGAGTTTCATGCACCTGCACCTGGGCTTCCGAACTGAAGGATTGGATTTGGAAGCCATGGGAGTCCACCATATTACCGCTGCAGACCTGCAAGCACCGGTTGATGCTACAGACAACCTGGTTTTCATCTCCATTCCCAGTGCCATCGACGACACCGCCGCGCCTAAGGGGTACGCTTGCCTACATGCCTACCTGCCAGCCACAGAGCCTTACGATGCATGGGCCGGGATGGACCGGCGCTCAGACGAGTACAAGCGCAAGAAAGAGGAGCGTGCCGCGCCACTCTGGAAAGCCGTCGAACGCGTGATCCCTGACATACAGAGCCGACTTGTTGTCAGGATGGTCGGCACGCCCTTGACACATGAGCGGTTTCTGAACAGGTACAGAGGCACCTACGGCCCAGCATACCGAGCTGGGATTCAGAGCTACCCCTCGCCGCAGACACCTCTACGAGGGCTTTGGTGCATAGGTGAGGGATCTTTCCCAGGGATCGGGGTCCCGGCTGTTGCAGGGAATGCTGCTGGAGTCGCCAACACCATCGCACCCCTCGAGATGCATCAGAGGCTGCTCGAAAGGTTGAGGAAGGCCGAGCTGCTTGCACCTGGGCCCTAAACTTGAAATTTTGTACTCTTTTCCTATAGGCCCTAAGTAGTTCCTGTTTATGGTTTATATATAGAATCCTATAAGGTAACCCCAAGAAGGGACTACTTAGGGGCCTATGGGTAGCTTTCATGTTTCTATGTATTGCCAGCAAACTCTCGAGTTGCAGAAGTATAGTATCGTCTTCAAGGTTCAGGGTTTGACGCCTTTATGTATCTATGTACATATAAATATTATTATATATATATAATATGTACATACATACATACATATATATATACATATATATATACATATATATATATGTATATATATATATTATGTATTTGTATTTATATTTTTATTTAACGCTTACATTATACATATACAGATACATGTAGATAGAGAGGGTTTAGGATCTACTTCAACATGGCCTCCATGAACAGCCAAGGTACCTGACCGCGATTGGAAGTAGGCAGCCACGGGTCTCGACGCTGAAGCGGCCTGCAATCAATCCGGGTTTACGGTTTAGGGTGAACCTGTAGGCGAATAACCTACCGAAACCCTACTCCTTTTTCAGGGTATAGGGTATCTACTTGTCTATATAACAGATCAGGCTGCGATCCTTTAGGTAAATAGGGTTCAGGGATGTGTAAGGTTTGCTTTGGGGGGTTTAATTTTTAAGGTTTAGGCTCAAGGCTTCGTCTCCTTCACAAGACTGAGCCGCACACCCAAAACCCGAAACCTTGAACTCTAAGGCCGAAAGCAAACCACAAGCCCCAGACCAAAAGCCTCTTTGAAAGCAGAGTCGACACAATTGACATGTAATTTCGAGTGAGTCGCGCATGTTGCATTGAGGGTTTCAGTAGTCTTCTTGCCTTTGCGGGCAGAAGAGGCAAGGATACCTTTAAGGACGAAATAAACTCTGAAAGGGCCTAAGATTCGGTGACCATTTTTAGGGGTTTTCTACAAGTAGCACGTATTCGGGTATAGGGGCCCTACCAGTGGCATACTAATCCTAACATAGCTAGTAAAGTATCAGTTCCCTTTTCATACGACCTCACATCTGAAATGCCGAAGTCAACCATTGTATGGATTTCTGCATCTGGGCTCAGCCATGGGGGCGGGTGCGAGGGACACGCTACGATTCTATGGTGAAGGCTTGTTCATGGCCTTGGCGAATTTCGCTCATGCAGAATAAGCTTGAAAGATTAACGTGAAAGAACCATCTGAACTTAACAACTTCCGCAGCAATTAATCAAGTGTTTGGCTTCTAAGATTGTTCTTGCAAGATACAGGTTGACAAGATAGCTTGGAGCAAACTAATCACATCCAGCAATTGAGCCGCCACATTTTTTAGAGTAAAGGGTCCGAGCTGCGTTTGTGAGTAGCTGCCTTTCTGGAATCTTTTCCCTAAGGGTCCAAGTAGTCCTTATTTTCCTACAATAGGGAGTACTTGGACCCTTCGGGTTTACAGAAAGAATACTCCCATCGTTTCAGCGTCTAAACCCATCGGGGCTCTCTGTGGCCATGCTGCGGCCGCTTCGCTTGATACCGTCTGGCGTCCAGGCCCCTGGTGAGAGATGATGCAAGTAACCAGTTACAAGTCAAGCCCTAAACCCTAAAAGCCCTAAAGCCCTAAACCCTAAAACCACAAATTATAAATCCAGACAGCCCAGCATACTCGACATGCTCGGGCCTTTCGGTATGCTTTTGATGCTTCCAACTCTACCTGCGGACAGGATGCTGGCACAAAGCATAACGCAATATAGTATACATTACCCATAGGCCCCTAAGTTGTTCCTCTTTATGGCTTATTTTTAGAATGCTATAAGGTATTCCCAAAAAGGAACTACTTAGGGGCCTATGGGTATACAGTGTATAGCATATAGTATAAAGCAGATGATATATGTATAGTAGATAGTAGGTAGCCCAGCATTTCATGTTAGGGGATGGGAGAATAGCCAGAATAGCAACCATTTTGTCTGCTTCTGCTAGGGACGATGGTCCACCCACAGCCTTGTGACGGCTCCTTGTGGCCTCTGATAGCTAAACACGAACTGCCAAAGTACACAAGGATAAGCTATTCGCGATAAGCAGTTGTATCATGGTATTTTCGGGGGATGCTTGTGAGTTACTTGGACCCTTAGTGAACCGCCAACGCGCAGGGCTACCACCGGGACACCATCGCGGCCTCCAGCGATGCCTTCGCATACTCCTCGACGATGCCGTGGCTTCAGAAATCATGCCATGTCTAGGTATAGCCCTACTCTACTATGTACGTCATACTATATGCTGTTTACTACATAAACCCTAAACCCTAAACCCTAAACCCCTAAACCCTAAACCCTATTACCTAAGACTTCAGAGAAGACAGTATACCCAAAGCCGCTACCATCAACCAGCCCAAGGGCATCACACTCGCTGGGTCTTTGGAGTGTAGGCTATGAGGCCTTGATAATGAGGATAGGGCATTATGGTAGAGTTATAATTAGAAGCCCTCAGGAATAGCACTGGTAATTATTTGGGCTTCAATACACTCCCGAGCCGAAAGTTTCGACAACTTTGCGGTAATAAAATTGTACTACTATATAGTTTGCGGCGGAGAGCTGCGCGAGGTTGTGCCAGGATTCTACGAGGGCAAAGGGGTGGGCATGTGGTGCTGTGTCTTAACTTCATGTTGTGTGGCGAACTTTCGTCCTGCAGTAGTATGAGTCTATGAATAATATTGGTAATCAGTTGGGCTCCTATATTCGGTTATGAGTTATGATTTTAATATTGGCAATTATTTGGGCTTCTATGTTAGGCTATGAATATTGTGGATAATTCTTTGGGCCTCTATACTCGGCTACGAGGCTGCAGGTTGCAGTCCCTACAAGATTCCTGGTCTTCGCTGCACAAAAACAACCGGAGAGGGGAACGAACCCACAAGCTGCAAAAACCCGAAACCCTAAACCCCGAAACCCCTAAACCCCTAAACCCCCAAACCCCTAAACCCTGTAGAAAGGCAGAAAAGGAAACCAACACGAACAACTGGTGAGGCTCATGAGGGAGAAGTTGCGTATCAAGACGAGAATTCGAAGGAGGGGCTATGCCCCAAACCCTAAACCCTTCGGTTGTTTAGCAGTTTTCAAGTCTTGACATAGCCCCTTGTAGTATACTTTAACATACCCCTTCAACGACAAATCGATAGCTCTGTACATAAGGGTCCTTGTTGAATGGTGCCATACTATATTGGGGACCTAAAAGGGGAACCTAATGTAGAGAACTACCCAAACGTCTAGACTATTCGGGGCCCCATATGTTTTCCGCCTTGCTACGAACCAAATATTTTGCAGTCCGGCAAGGAAAAAAGATTATGACTGGCTCTGTGGCGCGACCTTTCGATCAGATGTTCAACCGGCCAAACCTTAAACCCTAAAGCCGAAAGCCTAAGCCCTCAATCCGGGATCCGAAACTCTAAGCCCCTAAGTCCTATGTCAACCCTGTTTTGCGCCTCCTCCCTTCAGCCCGTCGCGTGTCGGAAGACTGGCAAGCTTCTCAGAAAAAACCGCAGAAGGAGTGCTCAAGGAGCACAAACATCCCAAAGGAGCTCCTAAGATATGCAGCCTTGAACTACGTATAGTCTCTATTGTAGTTCCTTTTCGGGAGTTAACCCTATAGGATCCTAAATATGTAATAGGTTAAGCCAAAAAAATGGAACTAGAACGGAGACTGTAGGTTTGCTTGCACCCTTTATGTAAAACCTGCTTTTTGTTGGGGAGGGGGCTGTTTTATTGACTTCCGTTTTGTAAGTCTCCCGAAACAAGTAGAAAGCAAGAACAAGGTAAGTAGGGAGCAAGGAAAGGCTTTCCTTTGTTTCAGCCCAGGTCTTTGCATATCTTCCGACTCAAAGTCGGCAACTTAGTTGGAGACCACTGCATGTCGCTTCGTGGATGTAACAGCAGGCAGATGCCGCCCTACATATGGGTTTAGGGTTTAGGGTTTGGCAAGCTATACATCTCGCGGGTTTGGGAATTGTGTGTGTGAGAGCACGATCTCGCCGTCTGTGAGACTGTGTGGGAGAGACCTGATCAGGATACACAGGAAAAGGGTATAGGTACGTGGTGGAGGGCAATCAATCCATATATATATATACATACCTATATAGATGTACATGTATTTGTTTGTGTTTATTTCTATTCTTATGTTTGTTCGTTTTCATTCTAACGTATTTGTTCATCCTGAATGGGTTGAGGACAACACCCTCCAGAAGATGATCGCTGCCCATGAGCGCGCCATCTCCGCCATCTGCTGGTGCCCGGAGGACGAGGGCCTGGCTTCGTCTTGGGCGTCCAAGGGTCCGGGGGGCTTTAGGTCGAGGTTCGGTTCAGATATGAAGGCCTTAGGCCTTAATCAATCGAATTACCCCCAGAACCCTATTCTAAT